CCCTCGATCTGGATGTGCATGAACTATTGGTTATGGGAGATTCCGACTTGCTTATCCGGTAAGCCCAAGGTGAATGGGAGACTCGAGACATCAAGCTTATTCCATACAGACAATGTGTACAAGACCTAAGCAAAAGATTCAAATCCATCGAATTCAGGTACATTCCTAGGTTTCATAACGAGCTAGCCGATACCTTGGCTACTTTAGCCTCGATGCTCCCTTATCCAGGCAACACCCATATTGATCCATTACAAATCCAAGTTCAGAATCAACACGGTTACTGCAATACTATTGAGATAGAACCAGACGGTGAACCATGGTATTATGACATAAAAAGATTCCTGAAAATAAGGGAATATCTGGAGCATGCCAAGGGAGATAAAAAAAGAACTATAAGGCGGATCGCTGGCGATTTCTTCCTGAATGGGAAAATTTTGTACAAAAAGACCCCAGATTTGAACTTGTTCAGATGCATAAATGCTTCAGAAGCTGAGAGGATCATAGTTTAAGTGCATTCTGGGGTATGCAGACCTCACATGAATGTATATGTTTTGGCGAAAAAGATTCTGCGGGCAGGGTTTTATTGGCTTACTATGGAGCGAGATTGCTTTAATTTTGTTCGCAAGTGTCACCAATTCCAGATTCATGGTGGCCTAATTCACTCGCCTCCTTTGGAGTTGCATCCCATGTCCTCTCCTTGGCCTTTCATTGCTTGGGGAATGGATGTTATTGGGCCAATCGAGCCAAAGGCTTCAAATGGACATAGATTTATTTTGGTTGCAATTGATTAGTTCATCAAGTGGGTGGAGGCCGTCACTTTCAAAGCAGTCACTAAGAAAGCAGTGGTAGACTTTGTTCATTCCAACATCATCTGTTGTTTTAGTATTCCAAAGACCATTATCACTGACAATGCAGCCAATCTAAATAGTCATTTGATGAAGGAGGTATGCGAACAATGTAAAATTGTGCATCGACATTCTACCCCTTACCGGCCTAAAGCCAATGGACCCGTTGAAGCGGCAAAAAAGAACATCAAGAAGATCCTTATAAAGATGATCCAAGGTTCCCGACAATGGTGCAACTCCTTATCTGCTGGTATATGGGATGGTGCAACTCCTTATCTGCTGGTACATGGGATGGAGACTGTAATACCGGCTGAAGTCGAAATTACCTCTCTCCAGATCATTGTGGAATTAGAGATTGAAGATACAGAATGGGTAAATACACGATTAGAACATTTAATGCTGATTGATGCAAAACGGCTAGTAGCAGTATGTTTTGGCCAATTATACCAGCAAAGAATGACACATGCTTACAACAAGAAAGTGCGTCCGAGGCACTTTGATGTAGGCCAACTCATTTTGAAACGCATCCTTCCACACCAGGTAGAAGCTAAAGGAAAGTTCGCCCCGAACTGGCAACTACCCTACATCATCAAGAAAGTATTACCAAAAGGGGCCTTGCACTTGGTAGATGAAGAAGGACGGGTACCAGACATGACTATTAACGTAGATGCAGTCAAAAGATATTATGTCTGATATATATCTACTACGGAACTTTCAAGCATGATTTTCTCATATCGAGTGATGAAGGCGATCATTGCTCACCACCCCAAATAAGTGTCACCATTTTGTTAACCCTTTTAAGCCATATTTGTTTTCTTGGTTTTCCCTCCTTTTGGAACACGTGTAAAAAAAACAATATTCTGAGACATTGAACTACGTTCGACTTGATTCCGAAAGGATACGTAGGTAGCCTCTCCCTGGGGTTCAGTCACACCAAAACAAAAATTCACATTTCCCAAAAGTGAAAACTGGGAAAAATATTCCAATGGTTCGACGATGGTTTCGCCTGAAAGGTCCCAAAGTTGTAATTTAATCCAAATTCTTTTTACCCAAATCCTTTTCAAGTCCTTCCGATCAATCAATGAGAATGTTCAAGAATTGGAGGATACAGTCATTTGGATCTGATGCAACAAAAATGAGAGAAATAAAATGAGATAGTCTTATTGGTGAAATCCCTCATGGGCGCCATAGGGTGATGGCGAACAGAGAAAATGAAAATAAGAGTCTTACAGTGAAAACCCAGATGGGCACCATTAGGCGATGGTGAGTAGAGAAATGAGAGAGGTTAGTTAGAGAAAACCCGCAAAGGGCGCTACTAGCCGAATGAGGGTCTTTGATGCTCCGACATGAGCACAACCAAGACAGTTTCAAGATGAATATTTGCGGCAAATTTTGAGAATTAGATAGCTCAGACGAATCAAGCGTCCATTCCAAAATGCATGTCATGATTCGTTAAAGTCGGCACATACCTCCAGATAAGTCCCCCTATCCTCCTCCCCCAAAATGGGCACCTTTTGTTTAGACACAATTTCTTTTTTCACTTTCAATTGCTTTTATATTTTAACCCATAATTTTTCTTTGAGTCCTTTTTCGGTCTAATCTTGCATCAAAGCAAAGAAAAGAAATGGCTGCAAAACTGACTATAGTTTCCTTGTAATACCAAGCATAATTTGGGGCATATACGGCATTGATGAAGGCACAAATCCATCTGTGATCTCTTTTGATAAGAAAAACAAAGCGTCTCAAAGAAACTGAAAAGTTTGCCTAAGCAAGACTTGCTATGGGAAAACTTTACAAGCACTACAGACACGAGCTGTTGCAATGTGCAAGACAACTAAGTTTTATTTTAAAGGAAATTTGCCTTGCCCTAAGGACAAGGGTTAACAGTACCATGGACATCCGGATATGAAACAGTCGGGGGCAACATCGAAGAGCCAAGGTATCTAGGAAGCCATGCAGAGTATCCAAGCATCTCAGTACCATACTGGCAGAATCAGTCCTTCTACAGCAGTGGCCGTGACTTCAAGCTACTTAGGGCATTAAGGCCGCAAACCAACTACCACTTTGAAAACTCACAGTTTTATTTTTCTTTGTTTGAAACAGGAACAAAGCGGTGCAGAATGGCGATTCTTAAAGGACGAATATCACCAAAGGTAAGTCCCTCAAAATCTTCATTTTATTTTATTTTCAGCATGCATCACTACTGTCCATACCTCTCATTTTCGTAGCTTAACCCAGATAGAACTTTTTCGCCTAAGGGGATCCAGCTCATATTTCTGGCTAGAAATACTTTTTGCCCAGACTTGATTTTTATAGCTTAACCCAGGTAGAACATTTTCACCTAGGGGGATCCAGCTCATATTTCCGGGTAGAAGAACTTTTCGCCCAGGTTTGCTTTTTGTAGTTTAATCCGGTAGAAGTACTCTTTGTCCAGGCTTACTTTTCATAGTTTAACCCAGGTAGAACCTTTTCGCTAAAGGGATTCAGCATTTTTTTCAGTAATACAAGACGCCAACCCCTGGTTACATTTCCTTTTCAATAATACAGGGCGCCAACCCCTGGTTACATTTCTTTTTCAGCAATACATGGCGTCAACCCCTGGTTACATTTCTTTTTCGGTAATACAAGGCGCCAACCACTGGTTACATTTCCTTTTCAGTAATACAGGGTACCATCCCCTGGTTGCATTTCCTTTTCAGTAATACAGGGCGCGCCATCCCATGGTTACATTTCCTTTTCAGTAATACAGGGTGCCAACCCCTGGTTACATTTCTTTTTCGGCGTCAACCACTGGTTACATTTCCTTTTAATTAATACAGGGCACTAACCCCTAGTTATATTTCCTTTTCAAGAATACAGGGCGCCAACCCCTAGTTATATTTTATTTTTAGTAATACATGGCGCCAACCCCTGATCTCCTTACCAGTATAGGGTACACCAATCCCTAGCTGTGTTCTCCAACATAGGGTACACCACTCCCTAGTTGATTTGATCTTAAATGCAGGATACACTACTCCCTAATATCATTGCCAATATAGGGTATACCATTCCCTGACCACAATTTTCCAACATAAGGTACACCAAGCCTTGGTTGAGACATCTTTTTGACAATAAAGGAATATCATCCAAAAAATAAAAAATAAAAAAATAATCATCATGATCTTTTCAGGGTACACCATTCCCGATCTTTTATTGCTTTCAATAAAGAAGTAGTTTAGAATTTTATTACAATAACTCACGAAATTTTTCTAGTAAAAATTGGGGCAGAAAAATTTCGTTCGTTTATTTGTTTTGGTGTATGAGCAGGTTTTACCTCGAGGCATAAGATTCGAGATGACCAAAAGAAGAATTCGCAATTCAGAATAAAGAAAAGAAAAGAAAAAGAAGTGAATTCAAATGCAGAAGCAGATGAAAAGAATATGAAAAGCTCAAGACATGGCTAAAGTAACGAACTTTACATTTCCCGTTTTGATCAGAAGAAGTCGTAGAGGAATGAACTAGTACCTGCAGCTAGCAAGCATCAAAGTTCAGATCAGAGTCTGCGTGAAGACTTAAGATCAAGTTTTAGAAGATTTATAAATAGGAATCTTGTAACTCATAGCTGATAGGCTTGTTTAGTTTCTTTTGATTTTGATGTAATAAAAGGACCACAGACCAAAGCCTCGACGGAACCTCACTCGACTCCCCAACTCATTATTCCATCACTCTTCTTGAACACACACGACTTGACTCTTTTATACCCGGGATATGTAGGCTGTCCGAACCAAGACTCGGTCGCACTCTTTTCTCTTATCTATTCCCTTTTGAATAATGGGTATGGCAAAATATTAGTCATATCGCTCATCTTTTCTTTGTCTGAAAACTCTTCATGTTTACAAGCAAAGAGGAGCATGCTGTGAGCACCTAATTTTTGACCATACTTGAATTTTTCCCCACACATCTCACCAATACCTCACTTTCCACTCCATCATTCCCGCTCCCATTTTCCCATGCTTGTCCCCACTCCACTTTCCCACTCACCCCCGCTCATGTACCCCATGCTTGTCCCTCATGCTTTGTCCCCCACTCACAAACCCCATACCCGAAATCAACCATAAAAGCACACAACAACCTATCTTCCAAAGGGGGATATTTTTTTTCTTGATAAACACACACACACGAAAGGGGAAAGGAGGAACAGATCTGAAAAATTATAAAAGGACTGAGAGAGAGAAACAGGAAAAGAAGACTAGAAACAGAGGAGTACGACACAAAGAAAATCCGAAGCTCCACCAGACCCTGACTCCTTTTTCTTCTCCATCAAAAGCCTCACGACCACGAAAACCTAATAAAAAGACTGTAAATCACCTCTAATCAACTGTGATTGTACCATAAATCAAAAAATTTCTGTCCACTAATTTCTCCCGATCCTAACACCACCGCGATTTAGCGCCGCAACACCTGCAAAATTTTGATTCTCCGATTTCGGCGCATACTGATCTTCATGTAGAGTTGAGGGAAAACTCACAAATAAGATTTATCTGTTAGTTTCCTTCTCAATATCCGAGTGCGGTTTTAGCGAGGTTCCTTTCAGGTCGCCGGCGTGGTTTATGGTTTGCCGCTGAACTGGTCGAGGTCCCTATCTTGATTCGAGTTTATGTTTTGCTGGTCTGTACTGGTTTCGGGACTCCGTGCATTTGAATCATTGGAACTCAATTAAAGGTCTATTCTTCACTCTGTTTCTTCTTAGATTTTCAGATTTCAAATTGTTTTGGTGTTTGAATGGAACATTTGTTTGGCTGTGTGTTTGCTATTTGATCTTAAGTGAAATTCTTGTGTTTGGCCTAAACTTTGATGAGATTAATCCGCCAGTCAATTTAATTGATCCTCTTGCTAAATACATTGGGGCATGAATCGTTGATTTTAATCTTTAAATGTTTGGAGTCTTTTGTTGCATTCGTTGGTTCTTAAGTTTGAAGTTCAGCCCCGTAAATGCATGATTAGTTTAGTTATCAGTAAATTTCTCAATAAAGTTATATTGACTGAAGAATATTTGGTTAGTATATGAGAGTTAGTTTGAGGTTTAAAATTGTTATTAACATTAATTGCCATTTAGGCAAATGGTATAACCAAAGTCTTTTTCTAACAACAATCAGTTGTCAAAATTGTCTTAAACTTCAAATGGCCAGTATCACGTTTGCTTCTCTTTTCCTATTATTTCATTGTGCAATCTTCTATCTTATATGCATGTTTATATGTTTTCCTCTATAGGTTTATTTGATTTTGTTGGTATGGTTCGTACCTATTTTGCATAGTTTGGATCATGCGGCGGGACGCAGGTATAAAATAAAAGGACTCAATTTGATTTTCCAATAGTTTTATTTCATTGTTTCTCCAGCATGCTTTAGGTGCGATTAATAATAATCATCGTGGCTATGGGTACGGTTTTCGTGGCATAGTCACGATACATAAATCCAAATTCGAGTGTACGTTTCACGTGACTCGACCAGAACTTTAAATAATAATAAAAATTAACATGTTGTAAATCGCGGGTGCGTTTCACGTAGTGCGATTCGCAATGTGTACAAAAACAAACGAGTGCGCGATATCGCGACTTATTCAAATAAATTTCATAAATAATTAAAAGCGGTTGAAAGTAAAAAATATACAATAGGTTTAAAACATGTAATAAATTAAATAATTAAGCCAGGTATTAATTGTCAAGAGACCGTGCTAAAACCACAAAATTTGGGAGTGCCTCACACCTTCTCTCGAGTTAACAAAATTCCTTACCCGGTCTTCTGTGTTCGTAGACCATGAATAGAGTCAATTTCCTCGATTTGGGATTTTAAAATAAATTGGTGATTTGAGACACCATAAATTATTCCAAGTGGTGACTCTGAATAAATAAATAATCCTATTTTGATTAATGTCACTTTAATTGGAAAAACTCCCCTATTCCTCGGAAAAAAGGAGGTGTGACACCCTCCAGATCCAGTAGGAGCGGCAGTATCGCTGCTAGGATCCGGGGTTTTTCCGACGTTGATAAATGTAAATTTTAATCACTTATTAGTACCCTCTTGCTTTAGTTTTAGTTTGAAAGTATTGACTTTTGTTTCCAAATCTAATGAAATTGTATGAATTGCAGGCATGTTGGAGGATTGGAGCTTAACGAAGAAATTTAACTCAAAAAGGAGTATTCCAGCTCAACAAGGCAAAAAGAAAAAGTGCAAGCAGAAGTGCAGTCTGTAGAAGATCATGTGGACCGCAGAAATATAAGTGTGGCCACAAAAGAATCCCTGAATCCTCGGAGGAGTTTATAAAAGCGCAGCATGCACACCAAATTATGCGGCTGCAAAAGTTGGGCGCACAAACAAAATTTGACAAGTTCAGAGAAGGTGCAAAAGACCAAGTGTGAAGCCTCATTAAAGTGCGGTGCAATCAAAATATGCGGCCGCAGATTTCCTCACATTTCCAGAGAAGAAGATAAGTGCAGTCCGCACATGCAATTATTCAGCCGTAGAACCTCCGAAAGATATTTTTATCAACGAATTTCTGGGTACTATAAATAGATGGAAAATACTTTTTTAGGGCAAGTTTTATATTCCTAGCAGTTGTAGCGGTGATATTTTACCCTTCTGGGAAAGTAGTGATCAAAATTGAAGAAGATCCATTAATTTTATCTTTGAATTGTAGTTTATGGATTTAATTACTTCTTCTACTTTGTTTTCTATGCTTTCTAGGATGAGTAACTAGATTTTAGCTAGGATTATGACCCAACCCTAGTATATAAATCTTATGGGTTGTTAATTCTAATGCTTATTTATGATTGAGTATTTGTTATTTAGCCTTGCTTATGCATTATAACTAGAATTAATGGTTGCAAACATTGATTCATGAATATTTGACTTAGTTCTTACTTTAGAAAGAGGAACCTAGTCTAGGAAACTTGGCTAACAAGAAATTGACCTAGTTAAGGTTTTGGCTAATTTGATTAAAATGTTTGAACTAGAGATAGGAAAAATCTTACTTGCACTCATATCAATTGCTTGGATTGTTACCCATTTGGACTTGAGAAAGCCAATTTGGGCATAACCACTCTATAACTGAGAGGTATTCAGTGAGTATTTGAGAATTGAGAGTCAAAATACACCCCGATCTACAAAACAAGCATTAACTTAGTATACCCATTAGGTTTATATCTAGGTAGAAGTTACATCCCTAGGCTTTTCCCCAATTGATAAAAACACCAAAAATCCCTAGTTGCTTTACTTAGTCTAAATTCTTAGTGTTAAAATTAGTTAACAATCATCCTTCTTGTTTGAAAGTATAAATTAGCTATTTCAAGTACCCTCGTCAAGTATTTATCTCAACACCCATTATAAACTCCCTGAGCAATTCGACCCCTACTCATATTGGGTATTATAATTACAACGATTGTTTTCCACTTAATATTGAGTGTGGACTTGGACATGATCAGGCATCTATTTGAGATTGTATCCATAAATATTTGTGTGTTTTAAGTAAGTGCCTGGTTAAACCCCCCATCCCACCTAATGTTTCATGTGCAAATCGTGCTTTATATTTTACACAAATAGCAACTAAATTGACTTTATCATGTTAAAAAATTTCCATACAAGTAACGTTTTCGTACGTTCAACCTTGGCCTTACCCCTTATAGGAGGTACATGGGTAAAGCTCCAGACCGAGATTAACTCTGAGTTGGAGCTTGTATTGCTGGACTAGTGGGTGTTTCATCTAATTCTTCTTTCTCACTAAAAATATCATTGCCAAATTATCTTTGTAAAGTTTCATGATCTAATTATTCTACTGAACTAATACTATATTATACGGGGGGTTGGGTAAATGAAATTTCATCAACATGAGTCATTTCATCTATATATTTTCTAATTCTAAGAGAAGGATTATGATTAAGATTACTACAACTAGCACATTTACTATTTTTTTTTTAAATGGGTTGGTTATGCCAAATACTTTTTTAGGAGACATAATTTAAATACGAAAATAAATTATAAAAGTTAATAGAAAAAATAAACAAACAAATAAAACACGAAAATAAAGCACATAAAGTAAACACAAAAATTAAGCACTAAAACAATACGCAAACATTAAATATTAAAATTAAGAGATGGAACGGGTGCATCGTGATTAAATATTTAAAGTTGAAGAAATTACCCAAAACATTACTCCAAATACTTGACGAATTAATTTGAAGCTTGAAAGTTGCTCCAAATATTTACCCAAATACTTGAAACATAGTTGATTATGAGAAAATTGAGAGAAGAATATAGATAGAATGTAAGAGATCTGAGCGAGAATGATTGATTTTTGTGAAAAAAATAAAGAAGGATGGGGGTATTTATAATTAAAAATAGGGCCAAAGTATAATTTAACAAACTTAGGGGTTAAATTAAAAGTTTGGGGGAGAGTGGGGGTAGAGGNGGGAATAGGGGCCAACAAATGGCCGTTTATAGCCGTTGCCAATGGCTAATTTAGAAAAAAATGACATTGGCCAACGACTCTATTTTGAAGAAAAAAACAAGCGGGCTGGCGGGATGGGACCTTAACAGGCCAGACCACAGTACAAAATGGGCATCTCGTTCCATCTCATGTCCCGTTTAATATATGCCCAGTCCTGTTTAATATTTAGTGGGCCGGGACGAGACCGGGATGGGCCGAGTCGACCCATCCTGTTGGCAGCGATAGCGTAAACTAAACGAAAAAGAGCCAAAATTAGCCTTGAACTATTGGCCAAGGGATAAATATAAGGGAACTTTCAGAAGTGGCTGCTGTTTGGAGGCTTATTGTTGGGCGTATCTATAATTTAGTTAATTACATTCTGTAGCTATTAATTGTTTGCCATGAGATGTATGTCGCTATGTTCAATTCGGTTGTATACACTGTATTCAATTCGGATGTATTCGTTCTTATATATATTACATTGTATTCTTTTACTATGCTGAATCCAGTTGTATTCAAACAACAAAAAATCAAGAAATATGGTGTATACCGCTCTATTCAATTCGACTATATTCATTGTTAACTATTTTACATTATATTATATTCAATTCGATTGTATTCAAATAAAAAAAAATCACAAAAATGGTGATATTCAGATGTATTCAATTCACTATATTCATTCATATATGCTTTTACACTGTATTCGATTTACTGTATTTGATTTGGATGTATTCAAACAACAAAAATTCAAAAACTCAAGGATCTGCGACAAAAAATAACCTTCGTAATACATAAATACAGGTGAAAATACAAAAAAAATAAACGGTATTTGCATTGAAAAATACAGAATATACTCAAATTTGAGTGTATTTGCAGAGAATACAATGTATTTGTATCATTGTATGTGACTCAATAGCAAAGAAGAAGACAAAGTTTGCCGGAGATGACGTCTTCCGCCCAAACAAAATATTGTATACATTGTATTAAAACTAAAAAATGGTGACAAACAAAAATCCGCCAGACGAACAAAAAGCCGGCCATAATGTGTATTTCATTTTAAATTCGGACACAAGAAATAAAATATACTCAAATCTAAAAAATACACTCAGATTTGAGAAAATACACTCGGATCTGAGAAATTCGGTCGATTGGCCATGGTTTCTAGCCAGAGATGACGACGGCGGTGGAGGTAATGACGAGGACGATATGGATCGAGGAATTTGAGGTACTAAATTGAGAAATTTTCATAGCAGGTGAGAGATAAGAGAGTACAAAGGAGAGAGAAAAAACAAAAAGGAGGTTGAACGGTAGTGTTCCGGCGGGTTAAGCCTGCAGTGGTTCTCCGGCGAGATTGTAACACCAAAGAGATGGAGAGTTTATGAAATGAATGCTTACAAACTCTATATGCACAACTATATAGAAATTCTAAAAAAGGAAAAAGAAAATAATTTTTTTAATCCAATTAATTAGTACACAAGACTGAAATATGTATATCTACTACTATTCATTATTATATATGGGTTCAACTAACCCAAAGATACTTTTAATGTGGTATGATATTGTTCAGTTTGAGTCAAGATTGCACGATTTGTTTCAAAAGATCTCACACCATTAAGAGATTTTCGGTCAATTTTCGAGATTCGCCCCCGCATCGCCAAAGTATTTTTGGCATCCAAAGCCTGAAATTAACTTCTTGTATGTGCATCTCTAAACTCGTAACGGTATGCAAAGCACTATCATTCAACCATCACCATACTTGTCCCCGAATCTTGACTCTCATATCAGTTATTGGGTTCAACCAATCTAAAGATACTCTTAACATAATACAATATTGTCCATTATATACTAACTCCGTACAAATTTTCCTAAAAAATCACACACTATTAAAAAAAATTATATTTTATATATAGACTAATAATTTTTTCAGCTACCAATTAAAACTTTGTTGCCACGCCGAACAACTAACCTAGAAAGCACATTTGAACAACAGAAAATCCTAAGCATAAACAACAGAAATGATTTTATTTTATTTTCAAAAGATAGAGAGCACATTTGAACGGGCACACATCTCAAGCCAAGAGAGGAAATGAGCTGGCAAAGTGTCACTTGTGAGCCCATTACTTCATCTGATGCAATCACATACTGCATGCCTGCCACGTGGAATAAATATGACAAAAAATACCCACGGCATACACATGAAGTCATGTAACTATAGTTGTTGTCTTTCTTCATTTCTTATCGAACTCGTTGTTCTTTTGATTTTGAATTCCTTTTGTTCAAGAGCTAGAGTTGTTGAGGTAATTGTTTTTTTGAGGTAATCAAAAAGTGTTATTGATGACCATTGCATTATGGGCTGCTTTTCTTCATTTTACTGCTCATAATTTGTTCCTATAATTAATTCTAGGTTAAGCAGCTGCTCTAATTGTTTAAAATGTCATCTAAGCCGTTGGATTATGAAAATCTGAATGAAAATGTGAAGAAGTGTCAGTATGCCGTCAGAGGTGAGCTCTACCTTCGAGCTTCTCAACTTCAGAAGGAAGGAAAGAAGGTAAGGTTTTTGAGTTTTTCTCATGCCATGTTATTGATATTCAGACATTTTAATAGCTTTCCCATTTATTTAGTCTCCTATATTTGATGTTACAGTAGGATCCTAACTTGCTATTTCAATTTTCAGTCTTAATTGGTTCTCATTCATCCTCCTTATTTATGCTTTTGTGCTTGATAAGTTTTCTTTATCTCTCTGTGTGTGTGTGTGTTTTTTGGAACTAGAATTTTCGTCTAATTCCGGACATACGCCCAAGTCCCAAATCACGATACGGAACTACCGGAACTGTCAAAACACTGATCCGGGTCCGTTTGCTAAAACGGTTGATCAAAGTCAACTCATTTGAGTTTTAAGGCTCTATTTCACCTTTTAATTCATTTTTCACATAAAAACTTTCCGAAAAATTTTACGGACTGTGCACGCAAGTCGAAGAATAATAATTAGTGCTTTTCAAGGTCTTAGAACACATAATTACTTATTAAATTTAAAGATGACATTTTGGGTCATCACATTCTCCACCTTTAAAACAAACGTTCGTCCTCGAACGGAGTTAGAAAAAGTACCTGAGCTGGTGAATAAGTGTGGATATTTACTCTGCATGTCCGACTCAGACTCCCAGGTAGATGCCTCTACCGGCTGACCTCTCCGTTGCACTCGAACTGAAGGATAACTCTTAGACCTCAACTATCGGACTNTATCCTTTTTCATTCTCCTCCACCAATAATGTTGTCGCAAATCTTGATACATTTTGGCGGTATCTGGATGAATAGAATACCTGGAACTGTGTGCCTCTTTAAGGTTTAATTCACGAAGCCCG